TGCAGGATCTTGCAAGATCTTGCCAAACATCTTGCAAGATCTTGCCATGATCATGACAAGATCTTGCCATGATAATGGCAAGATCTTGCAAAATCCTGCAAGATCTTAGGTAAGATCCTGCAAGAACTTGGAAAGATCTTGCAAGATCATGCAAGATCTTTCCATGATCTTGCAGGATTTATGTAAGATCTTGGCATGATCTTGGTACAAATCCTGCAAGATCTTGCCATGATAATGGCAAGATCTTGCCATGATAATGGCAAGATCTTGCAAGATCTTAGGTAAGATCCTGCAAGAACATGGAAAGATCTTGCAAGATCCTGCAAGATCTTAGGTAAGATCCTGCAAGAACTTGGAAAGATCTTGCAAGATCTTTCCATGATCTTGCAGGATTTATGTAACATCTTGGCATGATCTTGGTACAAATCCTGCAAGATCTTGCCATGATTCTCCAAGATCTTACCACAAATCCTGCAAGATCTTGCCATGATCCTCCAAGATCTTACCAAAATCCAGCAAGATCTTGCCATGATCTTGCCAAAAATCCTGCGAGATCTTGCCATGATCCTCCAAGATCTTACCGAAATCCAGCAAGATCTTGCCATGATCCTCCAAGATCTTACCAAAAATCCTGCGAGATCTTGCCATAATCCTTCAATATCTTACCAAAATCCAGCCAGATCTTGCCATGACCCTACAAGATTTTACCAAGTTCGGGGCAAGAATACATGGCAAATACAGAATGAAGAGGCTCTACATGAAATATACTATACTCTGGATATAACTTTGATTGAATTTATCAAACTAACGTAAAAGTGTACAATATTGCCATAAATTCAGTGTCGGTCTTTATTAAATTGTAATCAATTAGTTCATCCAAATTATAATACTCAAGCTTTTACCCGGTTTAGTTTGCATAGTAAATGTAGTAAATTAGACCAATAATGTTGGTAAAATATTATCAATATCTATGGCGATTGAAATAAAGTCCGAATGAAAGTTCCACCTTGCACAATATTTGAGAGAAAACAAAGGGAATCTTGTCTGTTCTTAATAATGTTGTTCTAAAGAATTGAGTTTCAAGATGGAACTTTTATTCGGAGGTTGTTTCATACTTTACTTCATGAATTATATTAGCATTGACACCATTGTTATTGCAAGTTCTTCGATTTTGTTTTTCTTCGCATATCTATCGCGGCACTTTTGAATTTTGATTGCACGCATCCACGATAATTTGGCGTGTTTACTGTTCTCTGTACTTTTTCTTCGCCATACTTGGCGTTGAGGACAGCTATATCGTAAAAAAAGACTGTGTTAAAGTAAGTCTATTTTTTGTATTTAAGTTCATTTCAATGTTTACCCAAAACACATTGCCATTGGCAAAGAAAACTATAGTACTTTTAATTAACACATACTGTGGCAACTTAGTCTTAAGTTTGTATATATCTGTTCACAGCTGGCCAGTTAATTTTTCTTGAAGTCAAATCACATATATTATTTTTACCAAACAATTTAGTGACCCTGTTGGGATCTAGTGCTGGTTTTGGAGATCTTTTCGACTGGAATAGTATTCCATCCTGGAGCTCTTCCGATGAAAATAGGAAGTCCAATGATTTGATTGCACATTTTGATGGCTCTTTTGGTGGTGCATTTACGGTCATCAAATTAATGTCATTGTGCCACTAAAATGAATTAACAATACTTGATATTAAATCACTGTAGTTGAATTCTTTTTAAGTAAAAACGATAAATTACACATGTATAGGTACACTCATAGCTCATACTTACAATCTCGATCTCTGTAGTTTTTTTTTTGGCCATAGCTTTATCATTTGGGGATGCTTTCACCATGTTTTCCTAAATAATATTTGAAATAACAAATTTTGAATAATACACATGCATGTTGAATAATCATAGCTCAAACCATTAATTTTATATGAAAGATCTCTATATTTTATCCTAGCTTCACTGGTTGGCATAATGAAACTTAACTCACTAATGAAGCTCACATTTATACCGTAGTGTGAAATTGCGTGTTTCTATGCGCTGCATTTACGATGTTTGGCACCGGATCTGTCGAAACTACGGTTATCAGGACATTTCAGTAGCGCAAGCTGCGCAAAAGCTGTGTAATAAATATAAGACTGTGTGAATATAATAATTTGTGGTCCCAGGGGTATTCTCAACGGCTTTGTCATTCTTAACAAAACGTTAAACTAGGTATTATCACGTAAAAGCTTATTGCGACCAATGATGAGGTGTTATTAAAATTATTTAAAGTCGAAATTACAGCAAGCATTGCATCGCTTTAGCCGATTAACTTAGCCTTTTGTAAGGTTATTTGAAAAAGCTTGAAACATTTATTACATGTGGTAATCAAACTGCTTAGCGCTCATTCATTCAATATACAAATAATGTGTTATTTATTTATTTAAGACAGCTCGACAAGTTATCCTTTCTTCTTTAGTGCAGCAACAAAGTCGAGGAACAGAAGTATAAACTGCCGTGTACCTTGTATGTTTGACTTATAAAACGCGCCTTGGGGCTTTTACCAACGGTTGTCTACCACAAATATGCGAAAAATGCGCAGATAACAAGATTTACAGATATTGATTATTTGATCTCATTTCAGTCATTTGGATCTGGCACGCAAAGGTGCGAGAGCAACTGTGCGCGTAAAAGTCTCCTTTCACAAGGATCTTTCAAAATCATGGCATTTTTGGTATGATCATGGTAAAATCATGACAAGAGATTGTGTCAAGAACTTCCAAGATCAAGATAGATAAGATCTTGGCAAAATCATGCTGGGATCATGGTGAGATCTTGACAAGATCTTCCAAGACCATGGCAATACTATAATAGAATCTTGGCAAGATTGTGATAAGATCTAGCAAGGATCATGATCATTGATGGGATCTTGAAAAGATCCTCCAAGATCATGGCAAGATTACAATAAGATCTTGGCAAGATTTTGGTAAGATATTGGCAAGATCATGCTGAGATCTTGGCAAGATCATGGTGAGATCTTGTCAAGATTTTCAAGACCATGGCAACATTATGGTAGGATCTTGGCAAGATTTTTGATAAGATCTTGGCAAGATCATGGTGGAATCTTGGCAAGATTGTCCAAGATCATGGCAAGATTATGATAGAATCTTGGCAAGATTGTGATAAGATCTTAGAAAGGATCATGGTAGGATCATGGTAAGATCCTCCAAGATCATGGCAAGATTACAATAGGATCTTGACAAGATTTTGATATGATCTTGGTAAGATCATGGTGGAATCTTGCCAAGATTGTGCAAGATCATGGCAAGATTATGATAGAATCTTGGCAAGATTGTGATAAGATCTTAGCAAGGACCATGGTGGGATCTTGGCAAGATCATCGTGGGATCTTGACAAGATCTTCCAAGATCATGGCAAGATCATGATAGAGTATTGGCAATGTTGTGATATATGCAATTGGTTTGATCAAGGTTCATTATACATATACTTATGAAGGTCGAAAAATACAACTCAGCAAGAATTATGTATGACGAAAAATCATGAAAGATCTTGGCAAGATCTTGACAAGAATTTCAGACAATCTTGGCAAGATTTTGGCAAGTATGACAAGATTGAATAATCTTGGCAAGATATTGGTAATATCTTGGCAAGATCTTGCCAAGATTAGCGTCTTGCCAAGACCTTGCCATGATCTTCCAAGATCATGCAAGATCTTACAAGATCTTGCCAAGATCTTCAACCTGGGTAGTTATACAGCCGACCGTCCAACCCACAATGGCAATGCATGGCGTGCAGTGTCGCAAAAAGTCAAAAAGTCTTCATTCTAAACACGCCTTGATCTCAGCGACGCCTATACTTACTGTAACGGACATATCAAGCCCACTCTAAGTCAAGCATTTTGGCTTTCCGTACTGCCCCAAATATTGGGGTATATTTATTTGTGATGACTGATGGACGAGTTCTTCTATGCACACTTTTAATAATTTAAATTTAGGTCAAACCGCTTTAAATTCTCTCAATTTTATTTGTTCAAAGCAAAAACCAAAAGGACTACGTACGATACAACTTGCTTATAGAATATAGAGATTAGTTCACAGGTATTTTGAAATACTATAAATAGGCAATAGTCTTGCCACATACAGCGTTTCATCATGCAGCGTTTTATGAAAAGGTTTCGATTAAGATGCATTTTCACACGATATTTGAATAACAAATTTAGTGTGATTAAGTTCACGTTAACCCTCAAAGAAATGCTTCGACATCATGATGAATCCTTTCATCAGTGTAATCCTGACAGAGTAAGTATCTATATATGCATACATCTATAGTTTTAAAGTACAGTACTCACTGCTTACTGGTTGTAGACAGTTATGGACGGATGCCGAATGATGTTGTAGTAGCTGTATCTTTAATATAGTTTATTTATTTATTCATCATTGATTGACATAGGGAGTGATAGTGTTGTAAGGAATTTTGCTACACTTGTAAAACGTTATAACTGAAAAGTAGTGTAACACTGTTCCCGCATCAATCCAGTATCACACCGCATGCATATACATGTTCGCAAATTGTTAACAAGTTGTCACAGGCGTCTTGTCACAAAGTCGATCATTGACTGTACGTATGCACTTTTTTTTCAATAAAAGTTGATCAAAAGTTCATAACGGCGTTACCTGCTGATAACCTAATAACTTATAGTATAACTTGAATTAAACTCGACCAAAGATTCAATTGTAAAAATTCGAATTTATTCAAACACCGATTTTCTTTCAATATTGCCTTGTAAATGTAAATGAATGTAATTATAGTGTAACTGATGCAGAAATCCATGTCAGCTTTATTAATTGTATATAAGTGTCCATGCCCAGCTATATATAGAACCAAAGTTACAAGTGTAGTTATATCTAATTTTAATACTTTATGACTGATCTGATTATGTAGCAAAGCGATTTTATCGCAAACCATGTATGAGTGTCTGTTTATCTAATCTCGTACCCAGAGCATGCCATTCGCAGGTTAGGGGTGGGTACAACTCATGCACGTCGTAAATTCAACGTCACTTCTCCAGCGCAATGCCCGCCACTAACCTGCGAACGGGCATGATCTGCGTACGAGGTTGCTGTTTATCTGTCCACAATCACGTGACAGTGACACCATAGAGGTGACACTAAACTGAAACCCTTCGCAGACAACAACCTTTTAAAGAATAACGTGGCGACTTCGAAAGAGATAAATTACTGCGTTTTGATTTAAGAAAATAATGAAAATATAACATTTTGCGAACATTTTGACATCCATTTTCGACAACAGTGTGTAAACAAGTAATTTACAGCATTTACAATACCCTATATTATGTCTATGATTCCAAAAGAAACTAGATTTTATGATAGAAACACTAAACTTTATCGTAATTTAATTTTTACAGCAGGAAAACCATGTCAAGCGCCTCGACTTTCGGAAAGCATAAAAAAGTTTTCCGACAGTCTCGCAACATCCTGCGTGCATGGATGACGCTTCCTAAAGGGAAAACCATTTGGTGTTCCTTCATTTACCAGGCGGCAGTCTTGAGATGATTGTCAAGTGCCGTTCAGACAATCTTTTGTGACGTTTTCCATCTCAGGAAGTTAAATCACATTCATATTATGTTGGCCATGTGTGAAACATGACCCCTTTTATGCACATGAATATTTGTTGTAATTAAATTAATGAACTCTTCAAGCTGGTCAAGGTATTAAGTTTAAAAACTCTCAAAAGCAACACATAATGCCATACGTCAGGAGTTACTCAGTCCCAGTAACAAGGACTAGAAGCCACTCCATCGAGTCTGCTGGAAGTAGCTTAAGCGTTGAAAGTGCACCGCTTGTATGTATATTTGAAGATGATGAAACGTTTGTAAGTTTGTATTTGTACCCGCCAATATATACAAAAGGTCAGCGAGTCATGACCAATATATTAATATGTATAAGATAGCCTATTGAGTATTGGGGCCTATTGAGTGCTATACAGTATTTGGCAATATAAAGTTTAGTTAAGACCCGTTCAAACCATTCCAACCAGTTAGATGAAAATTTTGAATAACGTCCGAACCGAACCTGACCCAAGAAACATTCGCTCAAAATTATGTAACAGGAAATATTATGTTACATGTTGACTTGATTGCGTGTACATACACGCATACAGTATTTTTGAATGAAGTGACACTTACCCAAAAATGATTAGTTTGGTATGAGTAAGATTTGAATTATTTTTAGAAGGAATTACGTAATATATCTTCATAGCAAATATTAACGTCACTTGATCCACTTTGTCGCTGTCAAAGTTGCTTGATATAATGTCATTAGATCTATTTTAGCAGCGAAGAACATTTATGATTTATATATATTACTGATTCCTTCTCAGAATGATCAGAATATTACAAAAACCAAAAATCATATTTTTAAATAACCAGTACAAATATGTGCCAGCATATTGAGCTGGTGTAAAGACCACACTCTAGAGTATCTCCAGAATATCATAGTATTATATCTGCCTGCATAGTAACGACGTCTGATTTATTATGTTTGCTTTTGATAATCCACTGGGATTAAATGCAACAACAGAAAAGTCACGTGTGCGAACATGAGATGTACGAGTGTATGGTTGTCAAGTTGTG